CGCCAATCGTAATTGGCCATTGTTTCAATTAGATGTGAAAAATGCTTTTTTACATGGTATCACTTCACTCGAGAGAAAATATTGAGTGGAAATATTTCTACTCCATTCGTGAAGTCTGAAGACCAACTAGCTGATATGTTTACTAAGGCTCTTGGTCATAATCGGTTAAAAATAATTTGTTCCAAGCTGGGATTATATGATATATATTCTCCAGCTTGAGGGGAGTGTTGAAACACTTATATGTATATATGCATTTAGGTTGGGGTCTTATGGTAATTAGATATAGGGTTTGTGGCTGTTATGTAATTAAGCCTTTATTGTATTGTATTGTATATAAACTCTCCTTATGTTTTAGGGTTTGCATAATGAAAATATGAGAAGTTTCTTCAGTGGCTCTCTCTTATGGTCTCTCTCTCTCTCTCTGTGTATTTCTACCATATACATATCTTCACTTTTACAAATCCTATTACCTCTTGGCACAGACTAATCCACCAAACTCTCCACTTGAGTCTACAGGCACACAGTCCACTCGTCAGCATATTCGCTCATCATTCGTTTCGCTTCTCCAACCAGTAATTTGATCTCCAATGACTAATCGACCAATCCTTTGATGTGTAGGCCTTGTGGTTTATCTATCTTCAATTATTCAATGAAGCTCCTTGCTTTAGAACTCAATCACACTATAATATAGAGTATTGAAAAATAAAGCTCTCAGACTCATAATTGTGTTTTTATGTTTTTCTTATATTTAGAGAACCCTAGAGCACCTTTTTATAGCGTTGGAATGATTAGAAATTGATTAGGAATGTTTTGGATGAGTTTTGGAAAGTTTAGAAAGGTGTCTTTCACTAACTCTGATTGCCTTTTCGGTCGATCGATGTATCGATTGACTCCTGCTGGATTTTCCTTGATTGATCAAGCTTTCGATCTAGCTATTCTAGAGTAACTTCTATCGATCAACCTTTTTGCTGAACCTGACTACACGTAGCCTAATTTCAGACGTCGAGGGGTAAAATGGACTCGAAATTAGGCATATAAGATTTTGTTGGAAAGCTTATCAAATTTAATTGCTGAATATGTAAAAGCTCATAATGAAATTCAAATTGTTTTTTTTTTTTTTCCTGGCCTACCCTCTCATTAGGGGCCCATGTTCTTGTACATTTTACTCTTCCTTATAAATACATTTGCTTTTCCTTCCAAAAAAAAAAAAAATGAGAATCTTATTTTAACCTTTTGAATTAATTGCACAAAACACACTGAACTATAAAAAATTTAAGAAAAAAAAGTAAAAAAATACTGTTCTTCAATTAATCTTATGGGCAATTCAAGCATTCCAAGATGATTTCATGGACCACTTGATACCCATCTCGTAAATTTTCAATAATTCAAGAGAACTTACAAATATTTTATAGTTCAAAGGAAATTTTGTGCAATTAACTTTAAACTAACACATTTTTAGACAAATTTCATTATGTATATGTGAAAGAGGAATGCTAGTCATAATCGTTAATAATTGTGACAGCGCTCTCTCAATTTAAAAGGGATAGTTAAATTAATTTGTAAGCAATTAGATGCTCATCAATCTCCATAAAATAAGTGTCCTTTTACTTCCATGAAATTACTAATAGCACACGTGTATTTTATCTTTAAAGAAATTTAATCTCTTGTGCAATATATGGCTTATGAGTAATGATACTCAGTCTATTTGTTAGGCCAATTTGTCTAACCTAAAGGTTTTTATCCATTTGATGTAGTGGATAAACTCAAATGTGAATTCTATCCACTACATCAAAGGGATAAGAATCCTTGGACTAGACAAATCAGTCTAACAATCACATTCCTATACTTAAAACTTTTTCATCTAGAATAATGTATTTCTAATTTTAATATATTATCATAAACTAACATTTACTATAAATTAACATTTACTATTAATACTATTAATATTTGCTAATGATATACACTTATATTCTACATGATAAGCATTCATGTAATTGGTGACACTAATAGTAATTTCACGAAAACAAAAGAACACTCATATTTTATGAGTTTAATGAGCATTTAACTGCTTGTTTTTCACCCAAATAAATACACAATGTTTTTCTAAATTGAGAGACTGTGCTGTCACAGCCGCTAACAACTGTGACTAGCATTCTTCTTCTATGTAAAAATTGATCTCAACTCTGAAGAAGTGCACCCAACTCAAGGCCAAGGAGATTAAATGCATTGAATTAGACTGACTTCAATGCATTCTCCCACTTCATTGCATACAATGGCCTGATCTAATAGTTATCCAAAACCCAAATAAATGTAAATTATTAGAAAATTAAAAGCAAAGATTATAAAAATAAATAGTTTGGATAAAGTTCTTAATTCATGGTTCGCCGTATCAATCAATACGCGACATATCGGCTAGTTCATAACCCTTTTTCAAGGGTCTGATACTATTACATACCTCCATGAACCGGTCGATTCGGCCGGTTACACCGACATTCACCCCGAATTTGTACACCACGACCGCAACCGATACCGCATCTGCGAACCATGGTTCATAAGAATCTATTGCCTTATATTGAATTTTGTTGTAAATCACCAAAAGAAAAAATAAAATAAAATAAGAGAAAAAAAAATTGGAATACAGAAAAATGTATGCTGAGAGAATCTAATAAACTTGTGTGGCAAATCTTACATCAACCTCTTAGAAACAGCAAAAACACATAATCTGAGATACTTCATATCAGTCAATCTATGCAAAATATGACCGCTCTGCCCACCACGTGCGTCACATGCAGATGGAAGTGTTTTGCAGTACTTAACAATCAAAATTTCTAACACAATAAGATCTAGACATATATATACCCAAACACACACACACACCCCCCTATTAAAAGTCAAACCTAAAACAAAAACATTCAAAATTTCAAACACAATAAGATTTAGACACTCACATACAAATCCAATTCACTTTCTTCACTAAACTTCTATAGATCTATCAATTTTATAAACAACAATAAACACTAAACATATATAATCGTACATAAACATATATAATCTTTTTTTTTTTTTTTTTTTTTTTGATAAGTAAAAATTGTTCTATTTTTAATGAAATTTTGAAGAAACAGAGGTCAGTTTTCACAACTTGAAATCCTTACCAAGAATGACTATTAAATTGCTTTCCAACTTAAACTCAAAATATAAGTTTTCTAACCAATTCTTTGCTAATGAAATAATTTTCCACTTTAAATTTATAATTAGATTAACTCCAAAATAATTCAAGTTTCCTAATTTATTCACTTTGAATGCTATGGTCATTTTAGGTCAGTTACCTTCTTTATATTTTGTGATTGATGAAGGTTGAAGCAAGATGTGGAATCCTTCAACTCACTCTTCAATCTACAATCACAGCTTCAACGTTGACGGAAACCTTCCATTGTAGTAACACCACATATAGACCATGACACAATTATTGCTCATGGAATATGCCAACACATGACACTTTTTCCCAACGCTTCTCAAACTATCCAAGTTGCCTACTTGATTGAAGTATGACTATAAGAAGTTTATGATATTCTTTTGAAACATGGGAATCCATTCATTTGGAAATCTGTATCTGAGAACACCTGAAATCGGATTTGGATGTTGTAAGCCATACCAGGCTGCAGGTGGTTGTGCAGCATCTTAGGGATGTTTTGTGGCATCTGTGGGCCTTACGATACCCTGTCAGGTGGCGCATGTTGCCTGCTGAAGTGCTTTATGGCATTGAGTGTTCTTGGTACTCGTGTTCTTCATTTCTAATTTTAGAAAAATAAATTTCACCCTCCAACTTCAGAAGTCATATTCTCTTCATCCAAATCCCAATTTTCATGGGTGCCTATCGCTAAAAGACTCTGGAATCTATTTTTATTTAAAATTATTTTTGTCTAAAAAATAAAAATATTTCCCAGATCCAAGCAGAGAACCACATAAAGGTCATTTCCATTCTCAATAAAATGCTTTTATGCACCTTGATACTTATTTACAGGCAGAATGGTCCGAAATTCAAAGTTTTGGGATTGGGCCTACATATGTCGTTAGAAGGTTCCTTCCACGTACTTCCTAACCATCTATGTGGTCTTTAGAAAATGCTTTCAAAATGGTAACAGCAATCAGGGTTGAAGTTAGGCATTCAAGGGCTTTTTAGTCATCTTAGTAAGTTGGTAGGATTTCATTCTATCTAGAAACAACTCCCTTACCAGCTGGGAAAGGACTCATGAAGCTATGGCAGATCACCGAGAGAGACAGATCTCCCCCTTTGAACGCCTCACTTCCTTTTTAAGACGGTTCCCAAGCATGCCTGAGGAATACTCCCTAGAAGATCCAGCTGAAAAGTACATGACCTTGGTCTGGCTCGCTACCCAATGGATCCGCCACAGGGGCATTGGAACACGCCAACTCTTCATATATGGCGATTCCGGTACGCAGAAAACCAGTACTTCAAGCTGAAAGGCACTTCCACTTGACGGAGTCGAACCCTAATTGTTTTATTCTAATCAGGCTTAAGTCTTACAATTGGTACAAAATGGGGTGTTTACAATGTTGAGACTACATTTGGATTTTTGTAAATCATGGAAGTGATGCATTGATGGACCCACTGATCCATAGCATGGGTGGCGGTTGTCTTGATTTAGTAATCTTCATTGAATCACTTCCCTTTTGTTCTTTCATTGAAGGTGAGTTCTTCCTCTAGTTTATATGTCGAATATCTATTCTCTCACCCAAGCTTTTGTTTTTCAACATATCATTTTGAACCTCAGACAATCTTTATGATAGTTTTTATGACACTATTGTGTTAATTTGTTAGAAAAACATTTGAATAGTTCCAAAGTTATGCTGTTAAGAAGAGTGCTAAAAGGGAGAAGAAAACATTTGTTTGGATTTGCTTTTTATTAACTCTTATCTCAGATTTGATTCTGCTATTCTTTTAAGAAAACCTGATATTAATTCAGTTCTTTAATCTCCAGATGAGCTTGTCACGAGGATTGTTTGACAGCCTGAAATTTGATGCAGAGCAGCTGAGAAATGCTAAAGGTAGTTTTCATAACTCATTAAAAACTTCAAAGGTCTAAAATCCTGTTTTAGGGGTGCAATCTAGCTATACTTTTCTGAGTTTTTTTTGGCAAAGATCAAAGTTGCAATTTAGGTGGCCCCAAAATTTGATGTATTTGAAGGAACGGGTGTTTGATATTTTCTGAATAGAACTCAGTAGGTTTAACATGAATCAGCCTCTTAGTTCTTGCTGGCAATAACTATGAGGTCTGTTCACTTACATGGAGGGGGTTGCTTGGTTGAGTCATTCCCTTAGATATAGAATTTTCTTCTTCTGAACTTGTGTATGGTTACCAGTCTGATTACCACTATACTCTCTCTCTCTCTCTCTCTATCTATTAAGTGATCCTGTTTCTCTTTCGCAAGTAGCAATGTCATGCCAGTTGATTAATACAACGATGAAAGTAAAGAAAAGGTTCCCAGAGAGGCGTTTAATTCTCTTTGCTACATCTGAAGATCAGTTACCATACAGTGAGATCAAACTAGATGCTTCAGAGCAGGAGAAGCACCATTCTGCCACTGAAGATCTCTCTCCCACAAACAGTTTAAATTTCCATAGTGAAGGATCTGGAGGTAAACCAGGTTTAATATCATTTTATAATCGTCCTTATAAAAGTGAAGGTGAAAGTAGTACATTGAGAGTCGGAAGGAGCCAAAACAGTATGCTGTGGTTTGTTGGTCCAGCGGTCCTTGTAGCCTCTTTCATTTTTCCTTCCCTTTATTTGCGGAAGATGCTCTCTGCTATATTTGAGGACTCTCTATTAACAGGTGTGTTCACTTTCTTTTGCTGGTGTGGTGTTCTTGTTTTATGCAACTCCTGTTGTTTCTTGTTTTCTGTGTCTTTTTTTTTTTTTTTTTTGTCTGTTCTTTTTTAATAAATAAAATAAGCACATCAGTTAAAAGGGATAGTTGGCTTGTGTAAAGGGTTGGTTCAACTTTCTAGGTTTTCTTGCTTTATATTACTTGTTTGAAAAATCTGCATAGAAGTCTGGATCTTCCTTCGCATCATTGTGGAAGCGCATCAAAGGCATTATATGACATCTTTATAATGATGATGAACTGTTAGTAGATTATTAATATCTTTTGATTTGATGCAATGAGAGGAAAACTTGATACAAATTATGTCTATGCAGAATTAATTTGGCCGAATGGTGTTGATGAGGTATAATGGTGTTTGGTGAATAGTGATGTTATGCTGAAGATAGTTTAAGGTGTTTAGAACTGGGTAGATATGTTAGACCAAGGAGAGGTCTATCAAAGTTTAAAATGGTCAAATGTATGTACGACCAATAGAATAGCATAACTGATTCTCCTTCCATCTTGTATATTCCAAACTTGATGACCTCAATTAGAGTTTTCGCTGCACAGAGACAATAATAAAGCAAAAAGCTTGGAGTTGTTCCTGTGGCGCAACCAACCAGCAATGATAAGGCTAAGAATCTGTTTCCATTGACCAGCCACAGAAAATGGTCAAAGTTATGTCTGACTGGGACAGTTCAGCAGCGGGAGAATCACTGTAATCTTAGGTAAACCAGAATTGGAGTCATAAGGAAAGTATAAAAGTCGGACTGAAAACACCGATTGGTAAAGCATGATTGCATAGTTGCAACATCTGGAACAGGGATGGAAGCATAGAGAAATTATGTAAAGGTTCACAAACTAAAATAAAATGTGGCCTCAACTAGAATGGATTCATGGAACACGAACTATTTAGTTGGCGCAACGATTTGGAACTGAAAAGTGCCGAGTCAGCAAATGAACAGTTTCTTAAGGGACCACTTAAATGCGCTTGTATTTTCATTTTGAAAAGGGAATAAGGAAAAAAAAAAAATTAAAGCTTATGATGCAAGTTTTTTAACCAATGAATTCAAGGACCAAGAAAAAACTTATAAAAGGAAAAAAAAATTAAAAATTGGAAACAAAAGAAACAATATGTTATCACTTGCTCTGTAGATTATGTGGGTGCATATCCTGTTTGATTTTCTGTTCTTGACTGAAAAAAGGAAAAAATAAAGAACAATTCTTGTTCTGCTTATTCATGTTCCCCGGGATCGATCCTGCTAACACGGTTTTGCTTATTTATTTATGTCACTTGAATTGTTTCTTTCTCTCACTTCTGTTCATAATCATTTTTCCTATATCTGCAGATTTCCTCATTTTGTTCTTCACAGAGGCTCTTTTTTACTGTGGGGTTGCGGTGTTTCTTCTGCTTGTAGACCATTTATGGAGGCCCATTGAGCTAGTTTCAGCTGGAAACAAAAGCCCAGTCCCTCAGTTGGGGCAACGTATCTCTTCTGTTGCTGTCTTGGTACTTAGTCTTATAATTCCTATGGTGACAATGGGTTTGGTTTGGCCGTGGACTGGCCCTGCTGCTTCTGCTACTCTTGCCCCATACCTTGTAGGTATTGTTGTGCAGTTCGCGTTTGAGCAATACGCAAGATATAGGAAGTCATCTTCATGGCCTGTCATTCCCATTATCTTTCAAGTAAGGACAGTAATAATTTTATTTAACTAATTTTGTTGTAGCATCTCTGTTTGGATGGAGAATGGAGAAAATTGTTGTCAAAATTATGTCACGTATAATGATGTTCTATCACCAATCTATTGTAAAATTGTGTCATGGTGTTTCATGTTTTATCATATACATAGTTCACCCACCATATTATATATATATATATTTGTTTTTTTCCACATAATTTCACACAACATTGGTGCCTGATAAATACATCTTTTCTTCGCCATAGTTAGAAGGTTCAAATTGCATTTGTTTCAGTATAATTTCCGTTAATATGATTAGATTTTGCATGATTTTTTCGTTAGTCTTCTATATTTCTGCATGATGATTTGTTTAGCAAAATCTCTCCCTGTATGAAATATTCTGCTACATCAATGTAAAGATCATTGAGAGATTGGGGAGTTCATCTATGAACTGAAAAATATTTTCTTTTTGGTGATACTTTACAGGTTTATAGATTGCACCAATTGAATAGAGCAGCACAACTGGTGACGGCCCTCTCCTTCACTGTAAGAGGAGCTGAGATGACATCGCACAATGTGGCAATAAACAGTTCATTGGGTACATTGTTGAACGTCCTTCAATTCCTAGGAGTGATTTCTATCTGGTCCCTCTCGAGCTTCCTCATGAGGTTGTTCCCTTCTGCCACCATGGCTGAGCAGTGAGGCGTGATCTTCACAAAAAAGGTCGGTCAAGTTATTAGCTTACTCTATAGAGAAGAATACTTCTGATGGTGGTTTTATTCAGATAGCTTAATGAACTTGACAGTCCTTTTTGTGTCTGGCTTGTGCCTTGTTGGGAAATTTTTGTGGCCGAATTGTGTTGCTCTGTATCTGAAACGAATTGGGTATTGAAGCTGTGGCACATTTTAAGCATACTAGAAATAGCTTGACACTGAGACTCCTTCACATTTACTTGCTTGTTACAAAAGATAGTGACTGTAAGAAATCTATTGGCAAAGGTGAATCAGATTCATTTTAAAAAATTGCTTAATTTTCTTTTCTTTGTACTATTAGTTTAGTTACATTATCCTCGATACAGTATATTTCATTTGCAAAAGGGGTTAGTCCCATTCAATCATCACCAAAGGAGCTCTCCTTTGGAGTTATATCCGACAACATTTTTTTCGGTAAGGTTTATAGCAGACGGTGATATTACTAACATAGAATTTTACTACAAATGCCTTGAAGACATGGAACAATTTTACGGGAGAGAAGGTGGAAGTTTATGGTAGCACTTAATTGAGAGACTCTTGAGAAGTTATGAGGAATATGCAAGTAATTATTACAAAAATGCAGAAAACACTGACTTGAAGTGCTAAATGCTGTCAATTATTCAAAGAAAGTCATATAATACTGTAAGAATTTATACTCACTGCTTTAAAAGAGCTTCTTCTTATTATTATTTATTTTTAGTTTAATTATTTTCTTTTACACCTTGTGGCTCTAAACTAGGGAAGTTTTATGACAATTTAGACATCTTTTTTAGTGAATAAACAAACAAGCAACAGCATGAAATCAGTTGGTGCTATGCTATGCCATTCTGCAATGTTGATGGTCCCTAAGAACACAAAGTGGTTAGCAGTCACTAAATTCACATGACTTGTTATATCCTCAGTGAAATTCTGAACTCATAGATGTTTGTTTTTACTTCTGGAATCAGTCAAATCTTTTGTCTATACTTGCTTTACTTTCTCTCACAATATCTTCCCAAGTGGTAGATACATAGTTCCTAAATGGTAGTTTCTTGTCTATTTTCCACCTTCACAATTCATGATTCGCAGTTTCTTCTTTATTTTCTTTATAGGAGAATGGTTCCCTATGAACCTTTGGGATATATGGCCCTTTAGATGACTCTCAACAGGGTGTGTTGTGGATGGAACTTGGGTATGATCATAGGAAGTGGAATTTCTCGGACTATGTTCGGCTGCATGGAATTGGATTTGGTGGAATTGGAGAAAAAAAAAAAGTTCAAAATTACAGAAAATTGGACTTAGGTAATGTTCGGTTTCATGAAATTGGAATCTTGAAATTAGAGTTGGTGGAATTGAAAAAAATTCTAGTTCAATTTTTTTGTAACTTTGAACCAAACTTTTCTCTAATTTCACTGATTCCACTTCCGTACAACCGAACATAGCTTAAAATTTTCTCTAATTTCAATTCCAAAACTCCAATTTTATGTATATGGTGGTATGTCCTACTTTTTGAGTTACATATTTTATGTATATGGTGGGATATCCGTAGAGAATTTAGTGAAATGCATTTTCTTTTTGAGTATTTTTATTATGTTTTACTTCAAAAATAAAAAAATAAAAATGTAACGTTTCCGATTTTCTGCATTTTTCTTTTCTGGAATTTTGTTGCCGTAAGGGCATTTCTATCCTTTCACGTCTTGAGCGCGGGATTTTAGTTGAATTCATTTACATTTTGTGCATTTGAATTTAAGTGATCTATGTAGCATTTGTATGGTGGTGCATTTTATGTGTTGTGTGGTATAAATCAAAGGCAAAAGAAAAAGAGAAAATAAAATGGTAATGGTAGGGCCCACCATTAGCCATTTTGTGGTCTAGAGACCACTCTTGCTCTCTCATTTTTCTCTCTTCCTGTTTATTTTCCTTCTCCCTCATTCTTCTCTTCATTTTCTTCTTATTTTGCATCAAACTTTGAGTTAAGATTTTCTTCATTACTTGGTGAAATTGAGAGTCGTTTGAGACAAAACGGAGAGCACGACGAGCTCTACACATTGATACCAACGATTTCAGCTTTAGTGTTTCCCTTAGATTTCGAAATTCTTAATCATTTTAAGGGTTTTGCTCAATTTGAGGTAGGGGCTTCCTAATTCACATTATTCATGCACCTTTTTGAATTAACTTACTTGACTGATGTTATAGCATGCTTATTTGTGTTAATTGTAGCAAAAAAAAAAAACGTCTTGGATGTATATATGTGAATATGTGAAGACTTGTCTTGATTGAATTACTTGAAAAGCATGCTTATATTGTGAGTTATGCCTATTGTATTATTTACATGCTATGAATAGTGTATGAAAGCATATTGTTTAAATATTAGAAGCATGAGAACATGCTTACTTGTGTTGTGTCAAATTTCTCATTTTCATTGTATTGAGATCACGAGACATGCATGTACACCATTGGGCTGCATGAAGGGAAGAAATTTGTTTTTGAAATGAAAATGGAGAGTTTTGGGAAAGAATGTTTTGATGAAAGTGTTTTAGAAAACCCGGTCGCCGCAGGGGTACCAAATGGCCGGAGGTTAATATAGCCTAGAGGGGACTAGGGAGTCGCCCTAGCGTGGTTGAGCTAGCTGGGCCCCATAATGACGCCGCGAGGGTATCAAGGGTCAGGGACACTAGCCAATCCTCCTCTCGTATCGCTGTGGGGTCACCAAAGGGCAGGCTGTATTAACAGTTGAAAGCGATGATTTTGATTATGAAAATGGGGAGCGACAGCGGCATACATTGCATCTCCATTGCATCATATTATTTGTGTTGAGAATGAGAACCATGTTGTATTTTCCCTTACGTGGTATGACCCTAACTCCTATTGGCCCATTCTTCGTTTTAGATTCACGGGGTCTCATGAGGTGCGTCTTAGGCGCCACCTACTGAGCAATTTGCTCACCCCACTATATATTATATTTTTTTCAGGTCATGGCAAGGAAATGACGAATGAGAATCCTCCGCAAGCTTGAAAGTTGTTAGAAGATTTTTTTTTTTTGCTATTTTGTATTTGGTCATTTCATGTATAATTGTAGTTTTTGGAATGTAAATAAGTTTGAATACATGGCCATTGGACAATGTTATTAAGTGTTACTCACTCAAAATCAGTTCGTGTATTTTAAGTAACATGTGGCAAATGACGTTAACAACGTGGTTGTTATTATTACAATTTAGTGTTGAAATATATTTAATTTTGTATCTGAATGTAGTGGCGGGGTGGTTAATTACCAAGTGTTGTAAGTGAGTCATCACTGGATAGTGGGAAGTGGGAGTGCATTTAATTTTGTATCTGAATGTAGTGGCGGGGTGGTTAATTACCAAGTGTTGTAAGTGAGTCATCACTGGATAGTGGGAAGTGGGAGTGCATTTTTCCAGAACCGGTCGACGTGTGGCCTTGCAAACGTCGATCGGTATCTTGGCAGAATGGGTCATTATGGACCAGTCGACGTGTGGCTTCCCACACGTCGACCGATATCTTGGCAGTGGTTAGTACTACTGTTCCTAACCTAAACTAGTCGACGTTTGATGCATATATGTCGACCGGTTTACGTCACATATGTAATTACCATTTTAATTTCTTATAATTTCACTTTGGCCCCACGTGATGTTACACGTAATTATTTTATGACCCACCAAAATAGAATAATTATATTTCAACCACCCAAAAGACTATATTGCTCTGAACCTTATTTTATTTATTATGTGGTACAAGTAAAGGACTATTATACCCTTGAGTCTCAATTTATGGATTCATGGTAGATTACCAATTTACCCTTTTTGGACCTTGTTATTTAATTTTGACGTGAAATGACCGTATTGTCCTCGAATGTTTTTGGGTCGAGTTATGACCAGTTTAATAATTCGGATCCATGAAGAGCTGGGTAGTTATAAAAAAAAATGCTGAATCATAAATTTGTCATTGTGCACGTATGTCAAGGTATTCCTTTGGGACCTTTCAAGTTTGATTTTTTGTCCTTTGAGGTAACTTTGTCATTGCGTATGCATTTGTGTTCTTTTGACTTTTCATCCACTTGCGCATGCCCTTTCAATCATTATTTGATAGTTTTAGTCATTTGTTCTCTCATTTTCACATGTATAAGCCACAGAGAGAAAAGAACATAGAATGTTGTTACAAAATTTGTTTTGAGTTTATCATCAAACTATTATATGGAAAGAGAATTAAAAGAATTCTCAATTTGTGAGAGCAATTTTTTTTTTTTTTTTTTTTCCTTTAAAAATTGTCTTTAGTTTTTTTATTGCTCTTGAAAACCGTTTCCAAATATAAATAAAAATAAAAATAAAAACAAATTATAATACTCATTGATGCCAAATTTATTGCCCCAAGCTAGCTGTGGGGTATTTAATTTTTGAGAACTATGCAATGAAGACAACAATCAATATTTACAATAATTATTATTATGATAATGATGCAGTTTTTTTTTTTTTTTTTTTTTTTTTTTTTTTTTCATTGGCGAGAATTTCACGTACCCCTTTATCTTTTATTTTTGGAAGGTAGAGAAGGTAGCCTTTTATCTTTTATTTTTGAAAAAAAAAGAAGATATCATTAGACCATGGTCTTTGATCTTTTAATGCAAGAGTTTCTTGATAAAATTCAAAGGAATGATAACAAGAAGTATCTCACATTATACGAGTGAGTAATCCTTCTCAGAACACACGCAACACTTCACAAGTCACGTGCACTAGGCAAATTCAGGGTTCAACCTAACTATAATTTAACTAGTGTGGATACTTTCAAGAAAATTATTTCCCTAGAGGTTCGAAGCTGAGACCTGAAGCTCCACAGGACATTAGGACCGAACCAAACTGAGTTTCTACTTCACTGCATGATTACTCCTCTTGTTGTATTCTATATATCTATTTAATCATCTAACACCTTAATTTACAACTAAATGAAGCAGGTAGACAATCATGTTGACCAAATACAAAGAGGCTCCACTGTACCTTCTTCAATAGCATTGTGAGTGGTCAGGCATAAAAGGGTCATTTTTAAAGAGTTAGGCTATCAAAGATTGCAAATTTTAATCAATTAAAAGATAACAAACCAAAGTCAACTTCTTCTGAATATATCAATGTCAAAGCATAATCAACTATTTTAAAGGAGGTTTAACATAATAAAGTCAACACTAAACTTGTTTACTAATGAAATGATCTCAGATTGTGATATACTTCTTGCGAAATGCTTAGAGAGACTAATTAGAAAAGAAAACTAAAATCAAAATTACATTATTATTTGAGAAACGGTCCATTCTTCAAATTCAAAAATGTCGGAATAAAATTTATGTAAGTAAAAACATGGACATCACTGAATGATGTCATGTAGTGAGACTTACATCCAGCTCACATCACCCTCGTTGAGAATCCTCGTAATACCATTTTTCTTTTTATTCACTATTAATGAATTGCTGTTGTTTGTATAAGAGCATTAGCCAATATAAATCCTATATACATTGTAAACTACAATTGGAAGGGAAAGATGACGAATAAAGAATGGAAAATGATTTTTGCACTAAATAGTTCCTATGAATTCTTGAGCTTACTCTTTTAATTGATCTTTTATGTAACAAATAAGGAAGTAGAACCCTCCACTTAGTTGTATTTGGTATAAATAACTAATTAAAAATTATTACAATTTACTACAAGTGTTCGGTGTAAGTATCACTCTACTCAAAACATGTCCTACTACAATCCTAAGTCATGTATATTAATTTTGTTATGAAAATCAAGTAATTATTATTCTATTGAAAGAAGGGATTTTTGTTTTTTGGCAAAATTTTGTTTTTCCAAGAATAAAACACCATTCTTATCTTCATAATTATTACAATACTTTTCATCAGAATCCCAATGATTTACCTTCCCCTTTGGATTCATGTCCTAAATTGAAGAATTATTTGTCTCTTAATAATATTTAAAGTCTCAATTATGCTCTCATTTCATAATTAAATTCAAGAGTTGGTGGTATTGTGGTGACACACTTATTGTTTTACTTCAAGTGGAAGATAAGACATAAAAAAGAAGATGAGATTAGGTAGAAGACACACAAAAATTCTCCAGAGAATAAACCAAATGTCTCATGGAGGTTGGGTGGCTGTCAGTTTTTATAAGATATGATGAAATGCTAACCTTTCTGAAATGTGGCTTTCTTTTTCTGCAGTTGCTATGAGGGTCAATTATGTATTTTTGACATTGAATTTGTTGAATATTTGCTTATATCAAGATGGAGGCATTTGTCACACATTGCATGTGGAGGGAGAGAGAGAGAGAGAGTGTGTGTGTGTGTGAGAGAGAGAGAGAGAGAGAGAGAGAGAGAGATATAGAGAGTGAGAGAAGGTGAGCAAGCACTTGGGAAGGAATGGTCCAGCAAAGTGAACACTATGTTTCTTTGTCGGGGGGATTTTAATGGGAGAAAACCTTGTTGGATTTCAGTCTCATATTGATTGCTCTCTCTGCTTAAATTCTTAGAAATTACTCAAAGGTGAAAGATGTGAAGCTGGCATTGAAAGCTAAGTAGTGCAAGTTTCCTATAATAAAATAAAAAATAAATTTTTTTTTTTAAAAAAAATCTACTGGTTAACTTGTCTTAATGTGCTTGGGTTCTTTCTTAGCAGGAATCCTCCAATATGAAATGAGCCAATCTGTGTGTGTGTGTGTGAAATTTTAATAGGCCCAGTTGGAATATTTATTGATTATATATACACCAAAACTTCACATGGTTATGGTTGTATTATAAGGTTTAACATGATGGATGGAGCAGGTCTCCACGGAGAAATTAATAAAATGTAGCTGTTTTGATCTTCTGTTTTCTTCTTGTATTTAATTTGGTATTAGGTGGGTTTTGGTTGAGAAAGAGGAGAATTGAGGTGTACACACTATCAAATATCAAACCATAATATTCAAAACAGAATTTACTATAAAATTAAGAAAATAAAAAAATAAATTGTGAAAGGCAGGATATCAAAACAAATTAAAGCAATGCTTATATGTCAAACTTAAGTCCTAATTGTTTTCTCATTAGGGTAAATATGGCTTGTTGAACTCTCATACTACTATCCCCATGTTCTCTCCAAATCAACCAATCAATCAGTGAGGATGCAGTAAGTGGCATGGGCCGGTTATAGCTCGTTGGCATGGGATCGGGTCGAACAATTGAAGTATGGCCCATGCAAAAGCACTACGGAATGGGCCGAACTTGAAGGATCCACTGAGGAATATCAAGCCCATTGGAAAGTCAGGCCCAAAAGGAAGAAAACCCTTGAATAGAGGCCCAATGTAATCAGTTAGTGAGAATATTTGTATTGGTCTATAAATAGACCATTACGGGTGGATAAGAAGGGGGATTTTTGATTCTATTGAAGTGTAAGAATTCTAGAGAGAGAAAGAAGGGTGTATTTCTTGCATCTTCAATTGGCGCCGTCTGTGGGAACGACGAAGAAGATCGATTCGAGCCTGATTAGTACCATGTTAGTTCAATCAAGTTTGTGAGTACACAGTTTGATTTCTGGAAGTTGAATCCAGATCAGTGAGATTGTAGTTTGTTCAGAGAGAATTCTTGCTTATTGTGGATTCTGAGGCATTTGCTTCGGAATGACACAACTGTGATTTGCTCAATTGCAGTCAGATCCGGTGAGTTCAAAGCTAATAAAGTTCAAATTTAGCAAACGGTGACCACGATTCAGTGAAGTTGAGCCTAGATCTAACGGAATTTGCATCGGTGACGCTCAGATCTGTTTCGGAGTTCGTAATTCATGCCTTTGCTTCGATCCGGAATCATGATAGGGGGTGAGAACTCCAATACGGTAGAGAACGTCCAGCAGGTGAAACTTGATGAGTTGATGAGCATGATCGAAGCTTTCCGGAGAGAAAATGCGGATCTAAGGACTGAAATGCAGCGTCAAGAAGCTCCAGTAATTCCGCGACCACTCCCGGTAGGAAAAGAAGGTGCACGTACCGATGCGGCACATCACGGCGAGGAGGTCGGAAACAATCTAATAGATCATCACCGCGAGGAAATCCGGCGAGACGGTTTGCCGCCAAATCGTCGTCGTATTGATGATCGTGAAGGATCGACTCACGTGGATCCACGGCGTGAGCAGATCAAGTGAAACGAAGTAATGACTTTTGATCCACATCAAGAAACGCTCAGCCGAGGTGAAGCAATAGAGTTGGATCGTCACAAAGCTAT